TGATCCTCTTAATAATGTCACGGCTTTGGCAGTAACAAGTTTAAACATAGATGAACAAATGGGTAGATTTGTTTGGGTTTCTTTTGGTTCTTAGTTTACTGATCACTATAATAAACATGAATATGTTCCACTTGCTGGGGGTGTGGAGGCGCACATTCTGGTTTAAAGGCTGGAACCGAGAAGGTCTACGTGGGAGGTAAGTCATTTCATTGGGTTCTGTTCTCAGGGCATCTGGTGTAAAAGGAATTCTAGCAACTCACGCGAAGTTCTGCAAAGCTCAATAAAAGTCTTGGAAAGCAAGATGGGTAAGAGGAAGGGAGGAGAGCTTCCTCACGCTAAGGAGTTTACAGAGAAACTCAGGGCCTCTTTGGGAGCCTTAGGCATTTAATCACAGCCGCAAGGGATTCATGTTCTGTGTTCCTCCTGGGAAAAGTCTCCTGCGGGCCTGACTCACTGGTGATGTGAGGAAGCCACCGTCAATGTGCCTTTCGAAGGCATCACCAGGAAGGCTTCATTGTTTTAGAGAGAAATAATACATCGAAGGATTCTTTATAATCACGTGGGCTGTGTGTGTCTGGGTTCTGCTCAGTTCTCTGGCTTAGTGTCCCAGACCTGGGCCTCCTGGATACAGTTAAAAAAAAAAACCTTCCGCATCTTGTAGGAGTGGTCAAATGGTGTCAGGTTGACTGCATGGGGTTGGGGAGGGCTGGAAGCCCAGGCTCACACCAGCCTTCCAGCTCATCTTGCTCCGGCCTGGCCTCCGCATGCTTCAGCGTCTGCAGGTTCCAATCCCCGTGCCTTGCTCTCCTCTGGAGACACTGGGGTGTGGCGTGACTCCCCCTGCAAAGCCCTTCCCTTCCTTCCCCCCACTGACCACGTTCCAAATCAGGGAGGTCTCCTGATTCGGTGGAATAGGAGCTTCCATTTTTATTTCATGGGCTCATGGGAGGTTAACCTATAGAAGAAAAAGACAAAAATGTTACTTTTCCATCATCTCGAAATCAGAGGTTTCCCTCCTTTCCCCCAGAAGAAGAGATGGCATCTGCCATTGACTAGAAGTGAAAGAAATGGAGGAGTCTTAAGATGAGGAATCTGGAAAGAATGGCTTTTGTTGTTTTCTTACTGTGTTCATAAAGCTGCAGCTAGAACACCATTCTGACCCTCAACCAGGCCCTGTGCTAGGGACCTTTATTTTCTGCAATCAGTATGATAATGCTGTAAAGCAAATATTATTCATGTTTTATCCACGAAGAATCTAAAGCTCAGCAAGTTTCAGAAACGAAGCCAAGCACCCTGACCAGCGTGGCTCAGTTAGTTGGGCATTATCTCGCAACTCGAAAGGTCGCTGGTTCGATTCCCAGTCAGGGCCCAAGCCTGGGTTGCGGGTTCTGTCCCCAGTTGGAGCACATGTGGAAGGCAGCCAGTTGATGTTTCTCTCTCACATCAATGCTCTCTTCCTGTCTTCCTCCCTCCCTCCCTCCCCCTCTCTCTAAAAATAAGTATGTAAATTTTTTTGAAAAAAGAAAAAGAAATGAGCCCAAGGCCACATCCTGAGCTCTTCAAATGACAGAGCCAGAATTGTCCGGCAGAGTCGCTTGCTCTAAAGCCTCCTGCACATGGCTTGGCACCCAGAACTCTAAAAAGTGCAGTTTGTTTTCTCATTTTGTTAGAAAAAAAAGTCTGATATATCAGGTGCATGCTAGAAAGTTATGGAAAGGAAATCCCAAGTAAATCTTAGGAAAATTTACCGTTGCCTTGGAGCAAGCGTTGAAATATTTCTTGCCTACTAACTCACTTGACCTTTCGGAGTCCCTTTTAGTCCTCCGATTCTGCAGGCAGGTTTCCCCCCCCCCCCAAAAAATTCTTTTTTAGAATCTGATAACGAATAGCAGACAGTCAGATGACTGTATGTTATCTTCATCATCTTGGTTTAGCTTTCCCTTCCAACAGCTCTCGCACACATTGGTTGACGGGCTCTATTTCGAGCCGCACTGTTTTTTTTATTTATGGTTTTCTCTGTGTGTTACTACTCAGAGGCACCCAGGGGAGACCTCCACAGCCTTTCCTGATTACCAGATGTCGCCCTTTCCATGTAACAACCATCTACTCACCACTTCCTCTTGCCAAGAAATGAGAAAAGCATTTGCCTTTGGAAACCGGCGCTGAGACACGTGAAGCGTATTAAGAAGGGCGGCCTCCCCGGAATCCACATGAACTTTCGCAGTCTTAGTTTGTTTTGCTTAGAGATAAAACGCACACAGCCTCGTTTGTAGTCAGGGCTAACAAGGGCCTGTGTAATGGGGAGGAGATTCCACTTGGGCTGTTTTGACTGCATCATCCATAAATTATGTCCTAAGTAATCTTTGAACCAGTGCGACATGTGTAGCCTGGGTTTGTTTTTTTAATAGTTTGGAATACCTCGTTGTTGGTTTTAAATGGAGATCGATGATGGGTGGGTGCTTCTCATGCAAAATAATGCTGCATCCCCAGGAAGTCTGGGGGAGACAGGAGGGTGCGGAGGAGTCTCAAACCTTCTTCTTTGGAGCAGGGACACGGTACTCGTCGTGCAATTAGGGGGAAGCAGCCAAGGGGAAGTGAATTGTTAGCTGAGCAGGAATTTAAATGCCATGTGCCCATCCTGAAGCCCAGATCTGCTCCTGACAGAGCTCCGCCTTTTGATGACACATCTCAGGTATTTTCATAAAAAGGCAAAGGACAGGATACTTTTGACTCCACTGTGTGGACAATCCCAAGCCTTTGAAATGCTCAGGAAGGGTCAGGATGCCCAAATTTGATAGCCTAGACACAGGAAGAGAGATTGTGAGAATTGCACCCACCTGCATGAGCTTTAAAACACCAATGAACATCTCTGAGGTTATACCTTGGACGCGCCTTTTAAGTAGAAAGAGCCAAGTAGAACCATATGTGTAAATGTGGTGTTATCCTTAAGATGTGAGTATCAAAAACACATGCTTTTCCCCTCCATCCAACTTTCTCATGAACCACTTGAGTTTCAGACTATCAAGTGCACTGTTTTTCCTCACATAGTGTTAGGTCTGACAGCCTCACATAATACAGTGAGTAATGACCATAAAATTGTAATGGATGCTCTATTCAGCCAGTTTTCTTTTTAGGTTGTTAGGAAGTTGGGCCTCCTCAAACCCCAGAAAGCTAGGCAGAGTTTAAGTTTCATAGAATATGAAGGTAGATCCTCTACCTCTGTTACAAATAGTAATTATCATAAATGTATACCCCATGGGCTTCTTTGGCCATGTAAAGTGGTAATTCAGCTAGAGATGGGGGGAAATTATGCCGAATGGGGCAACTCTGGGCATTGTCACATAATGTGCATATCAGCACATTTTATTTATATGTGAGTAAATATATATAAATGTACATTAAAATATATGTATTAAATACACACACACCTTTTTGACATAAAATATGCTGAAGACAGACTCAGGATAGTCCGTATTGAGCAGACAGGTACAGGCTGGCAATTGTGTCCTTGCAGGGCAGTGGGAGTCCTGAGCTATTTCACTTAAGCCTGTTTCCAGAGCATCCCAAATGCCACCAGTGTTTATTGTGGAAGCCCTTGTGTTGCGCTTTTGAAGAAGCTTATCTATCACAGCTGGGCTGCACAGGGGAGGCTTGCAGCAGGGCGGAAGGAGGCGGGGCTTCTGCAGGAGGCGGGGCTTCTACAGGAGGCGGGCCTGCTGTACCCAATGGGGCCTCAGAACGTTCTCCTGCCAGATGGGATGCTTACAAGTTGTATACATTGTTCACAAATTTGATGTAAAATGTTTCAGTGATGGATTGAATAAAACTTTCGTAAATTCTAAAAGTTTTAAGAAGAGATTGCTGAAGTTTCCCTGTCACCTGGCACGTGGTAATCCACCTTGCAGGCGGGTCCACAAGAATTGATTCTACCTGTAGTATGGTTGGATCATACTAATACTGCATAAGTAGAAAATAATGCTGTTAAATTTTTCGACTAAGAAATTTAGTGGTGGGAAAAAAACATCTAAGTGTGTCAAATTATCCTTCAACAGAACCCTTGTCTAACCTGGCTGAAGGTTCTGGTCGCTCACAAAGATGGACACTTGCTTTAGTTCTCACCTTTCATTATTTTAATAATAATAATAACAATGACAATAATAATTACACTGTGTTGGCCTCTTGTTGAAAATTTCAGCTCTCCTCCTAACTCTGCCTGCTCTGACTTACCCTCCAGAGCTCTCAGGAGGTAGTTTGACTCAGCTCCGTCCAGAGCTGATGCTGATAGTGGCTGACCGGCAGTGGGGCTGGTCTGTTAGCAGCGCATGACCCCATAGCTGAGCTGGAGTCTCTGCAGGGCAGACCGACAGTTGGAACTGATGGCACCGTTTCCCTCCCTCAGGCAGAGATGGGAGACCAGCATGTTTCCATCAGGAGTCACCTGATGGCCGTGCTTCAGCCGTAGATGGTTCGGGTCCCTTTAGTGCCATGCGTGGTACAGGCACGAAAAAGAGCACTCCAGTGGGAGTCAGAACACTTGGGTGCCTGTCCCAGTCTTACATTGAAATTAGCCATCCTTATGTTATAATTATCCAGTGATTATTATACTTAGCTAATAGTTATTGTAGTTAGCTAGTCATGTGACTCCTTGGTGCATAGGTCAGCCCCAAAGGTTCTTTTCATACTTATATCCCGCAGACCTGTAACTGTCTAATATAAGTATCTTAAAATCTCCGAGTTAATTCCTGTCACAGGCTTCAAAGGATTAATCTCATGTATTATGTGGTGAGAAGGACATTCTGCTAGTAGAAGATGTGGTCATATGATATTGGTGATATGTTTTATTTTAATCTCCAATTTCCTTTAAACTAACTCACCCTGGCTTTGTGCCTCAGCTTTTCCTGGGCACACGTTATTTCATTCAAAATCCACAAATGAAAAGAATTGTACTTTTTATCTAACATATCCCATTTAGAATGCTTTTTTGTTTGTTTGTCTCTTAGGAAAAAGTGCTGCAAAGGGTATAAGTTTGTTCTTGGACAATGCATCCCAGAAGGTATGTGACATAAAAGATTACATCTTCTCACCTTATTCACGACTCTTCATCAGGTGTCTATACAGTTCAGGTGTGCCTGGAATGGATGTATCTTATTTGTGTCTGATTACCTGTGCATGTGTGCATGCAATTTCTAGTTTGGGGCATTAAATTCTTCTAATTTCAGTTTGGTTACATGGAGCATGCTCTATCTAAATCATTCCACAACGTGTATACGTATGTGGAACAGTTCTCCCATCAGCTTATCACACACAGGCAGAACACAACCGCCCTCCCCTACCCATCTCACTGCTTGTCACGTGTTAAAACTGAAGCCCCTTCACATGACTGTCAACAAGCCCTGTGTGCAGCCCAGCCCTGGAGTGATAGAGACCCAGCCCTCAAGGCACCCACCCGCACGCCGAGATCCGGACAGCGCAGAATCAGAGAGGCCCAGATGTCCGTCACGGTTCCATGCTGCCTTCCTTCATCCACTCCGGCTGCTATAACAAACATTCCATAGACCAGGTGGCTTAAATAACAAGCACTTATTTCTCACAGTTCCAAAGGCTGGGAAGTCCAAGACCCAGGTGCTGAAAGATGCAGTATCTGGCGAGAGCTTCCTGGTTCACACTCAGCCGTCTTCTTGCTGGGCCCTCACGTGGACAGAGGAGCTCTCTGGGCTCTCTGTTACAAGGCCATTAGTCCCATTCATGAGGCCGCCACCCTCACGGCTGAATCACCTCCCAGAGCCCACCCCCCCCCCATCACCACCACCAATACCATCACATTGGGGTTAGGATTTCAACATACAGATTTCAGCAAGATGCAAACATTCGTCCCAGAACACACACATCCTACTAGCTATGACCTTGGGCACGTTCCTTTCTAAATCTCAGCTTTTGCAGGAAAGTATTAGCACTTAACTCACGTGGTCGTTTTAAGAATATTACCACATATAAAGTCCTTGGAAGAGAGGCTGCCCCTTATTAAGTCTTGGTAAGTGGGGTTGCTGTTGTTATTATTAATAATCGAAATATGTGTGGATAGAGGCCTTCAGAGCAGCAAGCGTGCAGAGGGGCCCACGGCACGAAGGACCGGGGTGGTCAGAGGTGGTCTGTAGGAGGAGCAGAGACCCGAGCTAGGTTGTCCAGGGAGGCTGCCCCGGCCCTGGACAGGCAGGAGCATGAAGGCTGCCAGGGTCCCCAGCGCTGACACAGGAGACACTAAGGACCATTTGAGGAGCCTGAGGGCAGGTCCCCCGGGGCTGAGGACAGACGGGCGGGGACGGGAAATGGAGTTCTTCGCTGCTGCGTGTGAAGCCGCATCTCCACAGGGGACTGGAGCCCAGCCAGGCTAACTCGTGTGGCGTGACCCCATGGAGAGCAACTTTTTTACCAGTGAGAAGTAAATGAGTCCCTCCAGTTGGTTGCTCCCTTCAGTGGGAGGATGGCCGAGGCCATGAATCCATAGCTGTGACCTCTGAGAAAGCTGCGTTAGGAAGTCTCAGCGTTCCTGGCAGTGTACACGGACTTGGGCCTTGGCAAGACTGAACCTCCCACTGCCAGCCAGTTCCAGTGGTTGGGGCTCGGTGGGGGAACCACAACAGTCAAAGCAACTGCATTCCGTCACAAGCCAGCTCTTCCCAGTCCCCAGCTGTGTCGTTTACATTTCTGTGCGGCAGCTACCGAAAGAGAATTAAGTTTAGGCCAATCCACTTAAGATCCCAGCTAAAGACCTTGCCCAAACTCATTAAAAATGCCTGACGTGGATACCACCTACTTAAGGGTCCTAAGCATTAGGACCCCTTAGGTATTGTGTGTCTAGGCCTAAAACTAATCCCCCCGACCCTAAAGTGGACCACAGCACCTATGGTCATTACAGCACTATCGTAACCTAGAACTGGGTGCTTCCAGGCAAAGCGGTCCAGGAGCCGGAAGCTGCTCTGCCGTAACCAACTCTCTGCCCCATTGCTTTCACCAGAACACCTTCGACAGCTGATTCGTTTTAATCTGTGGGAATGAGTCAGTACTGTTGGTCTTTTGCAAAGATATCTGTAGTCACAAAGGTCTCTATTGCCCCCAAATGCAAAGTATTCATGTAGAATCTCAGAAAAGATAGTGTAATAGTTCAGATTCTTGAAAAAGAGATTAATTTCTAAGGAATTGGTTGACAAGATTGGCAACTCTAAAATCTGCAGCGTGGGATAGCAACACGGAGACCCAGGGGGGAGCTAGAGTTTGAACCTGAACACGGTCTTCTGCCACAATTCCCTCTGCAGCAGGGCAGGTGTGTCTTCTTTCTAGTAAGGCCTTTAACTGATTAGACAAGGCCCACCATCATTGTGGAGGGCAATCTGCTTTATCCTAAGCCTACTGATTTAAATGATAATCTTATCAAAAAATGTATCTCCACCAAAACATCTAGAATAATGTTTAACCAAGTACCTGGGTATTGTGGCCCAGCCAAGTTGACACATAAAATTAACCATTATAGATAGTAAAAAGAGACTAGAATTTCTTTTAAAATAATCATATGCTAAATAAATAATAGAAGCTATAATTAAAAGTGTCATTGCCTCATACTTGTTACTCTAAGAGTCAGCAACCTATGCTTGTGGGCCACACCTGGCCCACTGCCTGTTTTTGTAAATAAAGATTTATTGGCACATAGTCATACCCATTAATGTAACCATTGTCTGTGGTTGTGTTTGGCCTAGAACAACAGAGCTGAGGAGTTGCAACAAAGGCCTGCAAAGCCAAAACTATTATCTGGCCAACCAGATATATTTTCCCCCCATCCCTGTTGTGTTACCTTAATCAGCCAGGTAGTAGGGTGATCTGATTGGTTCTAGTTCAACAATTACCAATCGAGCAAAAACTACAGGAAGAGAATAGTACTGTTGCTCCAGGGGACACAGTCCCTGAAAGATCCCTAAACAAGTGTAAGAGTGAGGAATTGAAGAAGCGGAAGAGCAGGTAAAGCATTCACTGTGTCAGGCATTGTGCCAAATGTGTCATCTTATGTCATCTCCTAAATGCACCATGAAGTCAGTATTATCGTTACCTTATTTTATAGGTAAGGGTGCTGAGGCTTAAAAGGACCCAAGATCACAGAAATTGTGGCAGCGTTAGGAGGGTTGGCTCCCAACTCTTTGCCTTAACACATTGTTTGTGGGTAGTTTTTATCTCGAGCTCTACTACCAGTCAAGGTAAAACATATAAAAACGTTTCCCACATACAATGTTAACATTGATCCTCCTAGAATCAGGCCTGGCACAGAGTAGGCATTCAGTAACCACGTGGGAGCCTGTGGGCATGAGACACGTAGAGCACAGAACATTGATGCCCAGAGGTGCGACTTAGTTCAGAAAACACGTTTGGCCAGGGACACACACAGGCAAAGCAGGCCTGGACTCTCCACCACAGGGCGAAGCATTTATCCAGGTCATCATGGGAATGGCATGAGCCTGTCACACTGCCCGTGCCACAGCAGGGCTGCCAGCCCCCTGTTCCACCTTCACATGTAGCAGAGCGACCACGTCCACGGAGAGCTCGTCTGTCAGCACCAGGGAAGACAGTGCAGGGATTAATGAGATGCCGGGTCTAGTCGGCAAGGAAACATTCAGCCTGAGCGCCTGACTTGGAGCCAAGTCCCTTCAGAGGCTTGTTAGATATCGGTTTGTAAGGATTGGGAGGAGGAGATGTTCTGAGTCTTCACAAGTAACAGACCACCCACCCCAGTGCACATGGGCGCAGGGCTGGAATGCAATCTCTAGCCGTTCGACCTTGTCCAGCCCCTTCTCGGCATGCAGAATCAGCCCTCTGGCATACCCACCTACAACACACACACACACACACACACACACACACACAACTCACAGGCACCTCCCTTCCAAAGCCTGCCTCACACTCCTTGGAGCCGGCCTGACTGCCAGCCCTGCTCCCCATGTTATGACAACAACATTCATCACCAGGGCTGGCCAAAGGGACTTCCTTTCTCTATAGCCGTTGGTTTTAAAAAAGAAAGAAAAGTATAGGCACAGGTTGTGCTGCAGAGAAGAGCCTGCCCATCCAGGCACCTTTGCTCTTGGGATGAGCAACGAAGACCAAAGGATGAGGAGGAGGTGACTCTGGGCGGGAGAGCGGGGGTCACAAGTGATGTTTGCTTCTCAGCACTGCGAAGCGGGGCACCACTTTTCTCAGAGGCTCCCCATGGCCCCGAAAAGCTACTCCCCTGCAGACAGGGGCGGTCCCACTTCCCAGTTCCCCCGGAGCGAGTGCCGCCCAGAAAGTCTGTCCTAGACCTCAGCCAGGTGACGCACCTCCGCCTCGGGACGGGCTGGGGTTGATGGAGCTCACACCTTCCCTCCTCAGATTATGACGTGTGCTCCGAGGCGCCGTGTGAGCAGCAGTGCACAGATAACTTCGGCCGCGTGCTGTGCACGTGTTACCCGGGATACCGGTATGACCGCGACAGGTACCGGAAGCGCGAGAAGCCCTACTGCCTCGGTGAGTTGGCCGAACGCGCGTGATCCGCAGCTCCTGGCGGTGCCGTGCGGGACGCTCTGCATCAGTGGGGGCGGCGCTGAGCACGCGCTTTGGTCTTCGATTCCTGCCCCTCCGCCCTGATTCTTGCCGCGTGCCGTGTGCCAGCATCATCCTAGCGGATCCCTCGATTACTGAAACAAATGCCGGCCGAGCAAACCTTCAGGGAGCTGGTTCCAGGCAGGCCCTCCTGTGCAACGAGGTGTAGGAGCAGGACAAGGGGCCATTATCAAATGTGAACTAGGAGACTGTAACACAGAACGTAAATGGGCAGAGATGTAAAAACAGAAACAGAGTGAGCGGTCTGTCAGATGAGGACTAGGAGGAGAGGCTGGGACAGAGCACTGTCCGGGTGGCAGACAGGTTGGGCGTGAGTTGGGGGGCTGAAGCCGCCCCCTAGACCGCAGCTCGGCAGAATCAGCACCACCCACGGTGTGTTCCCTGCCCCCGCCCCCCTGCGCTCTCTGAGTTTCCGAGGCAGGTTTATTGTCCCCTGGAGCCATGTGTTTCCAAGTGTGGTCAGTCACAGCTAACCTGTCTTGGAAACACCTGGGATTCTGTCTAAAAAAAAAAAAAAAAAAATCCTGGCTTCCCCTCCAGTCTCTGGTGGAGAAACGCAGAAATCTGCATTTATGCCTTTGGGGCAGGGGTGTCAGACTCATGTTCCCCGGGGGCCACATCAGCCTCTCGGTTGCTTTCAAAGGACCGAATGTAATTTTAACTCTTTAACAGTTAAGGAGTAGTTATATTCATACAGTCCTAAAATTATTTTGGCCCTTTGAAGGCAACTGCAGAGCTGATGTGGCCCCCAGTGAAAATGAGTTTGACACCCTTGCTCTGGGGACTCACCAGCACAGTCAAGGTTGAGGACCAGCTTGAGGTGGACCGAGGAGGCTGGGACACAGGCCCGAGTGGAAAACAAAGGAGCTGTGATGGGCAGGGGCTCGGGAAAGCACCATTTAAAAAAAGTTCCAGGCCCTGGCTGGTGTAGCTCAGTGGACTGAGCGCGGGCTGCGAACCAAAGTGTCGCAGGTTCGATTCCCAGTCAAGGCACATGCCTGGGTTGCGGGCCATGACCCCCAGCAACCACACACTGATGTTTCTCTCTCTCTTTTTCTCCCTCCTTTCCCTCTCTAAAAATAAATAAAATAGAATCTTTAAAAAATAATAAAAATAAATTAAAAAAATAAAAAAAGTTCCAGCAATGAGGTCTCCTGGCCTCTCCCCAAGGGAAGACGCCCCATGCTGACAAGGAAGGGGCTGAGACCACCATGTTAACTAATGGACTGGGGGCCACGGCCTCTCCTGCTGAGAGCACAGTACTCCACCCTGCACCCCCCAGGTCCCAGGACAAGGGCTCCGTGCTGTGACGCCCTGTCCTTTTCAACTGGGGATCAGCAAAACCGGCTTTCTGCTAAGGTCTCCATCCGTTTCTATCTCCCCTGCCAACCTCGTCCTCCCTCCTCTGGACAGGGAGGCAGGTTGACGCCCAGGTGTAGGGCAGGGACACGTGGACAGAGGTGGTCAGCCTGAGGAACGGCAGGGGAGGCTCCAGCTGTGACATCTTTGTCTACAGGTGCCATAGCATGTACCGCCAGGGGGGACCTCCAAGCCACCACGCTCCCCTGGACACACGCAGGGCCTGCCACAGGCGGGCCCCGGGAGTCGCTGCCGGCGCCCGGGAGCGAGGGCCGGGCGCTCTCGGCCACCACACGTGCACGGGCCGGGGCTGTGTGTGGTGTCTTCAGCCAGTGAACAGGAGCAGACTGGGGCTCCCTCCCCTCTTCCTGGTGGGAGACAGTTTCGTTTGTACCCCGCTCAGTGGGGGGCACGTCTGTGATGTGCCCGGCTCACGGGGAGCCTTACCGGTCACTTGTTTGATGGCCTCACGGCTCATTTCCACAGCTCACGAGGAGTCTGTTAGGGTCACTGTGGAGACTGAAATTTTGTGGGAAAAACTCCCTCCATGAGACCCATTATGACTATTTTCTTTTAACCAAAGTGGCTTTTCCCAGCTACCAACACGTCTCTTCACTGGGAAGGAGCCCTTCCTAAGTGACCTTGGGTCACCACATGCTCTTTGGAACATAAAGCCCTCGGCACACGGGGGCCCGTGCAGAAAACCCTCTCTATGATGCTCGCTTTTCTAAGTGTGTCGCCAAAGGGTATCTCCTCTTCTCTTCCAAGGAGCCCTATGGGGGAGAACTTGGAAGGCTAGCAATGCCCGGGCACCGGCCACCTGACTTGGAACCCCCTCGCTGACCTGTTACCATGGTGACACTGCCTTGAAGTGCTCCTGTCACTCCCGTTTCTAACATCTTGCTTTTTCCCAGGCTTCTCTGGGAGAGGTGTGGCAAAGCGTGCTTGGCAGACGCCCACAGAAGGGCCACGCCCCCTGTCGCCTGTGGTGTTGGGAGTGAGTTCTTGGAAACTGAGTGTTGTCTGCATTTGGTTCACACCAGATATCGACGAGTGTGCCACCAGCAACGAGACACTGTGCGCACACATCTGTGTCAACACCCTGGGCAGCTACCGCTGCGAATGCCGGGAGGGCTACATCCAGGAGGACGACGGGAGGACATGCATCAAGGGAGACAAATACCCCAATGACACCGGTGGGTAGGGCAAGTAAAATTACCCCCCTAATTGGGTGGGTGGGTGGATGGGTGGGTAGATGGACAGATGGCTGAGTGGATGGATGGGTGGATGGATGGATAGATAAGCCCTAGGAAGGGGCATTTATAGGAGCAGTAGGTGGAACCTGGGTAAGAGGAGGGAAGGTCAGAAGGTCAAGCCTCTGCCGGAGACACCTGGTGAGAGCCATCCCTGTTGGCAGCAAGGGTTGCAAGCTGGTGAGCACTGGAGGAAGCCCCTCACCAGGCAGAGGCGGAGTGGCCAGGGGTAAATCAGTAGAGCTGAGTCACACGCTTAGACCAAACTAGGATGAGCAAAGAAGAGGCCAGAAACACTGCTCCCTCAGAGAAAGTGTGCCGAGTATGAATACGAAGCGTTTCCATGTAAGGTAACGGTCTGCATCAGCCCAGTCCGAGGACCAGTGCCCGCCGGGGAACTTTTGTGATGTGGGTCGTGACGGATCAAAACCGAAGTCGAGAAGAATGTTTAGACATTTTTATTCCAATTTGACAGAGAAATTTTGTCTAAATCCAAAGATTTCTGCTGGTTTTTTATGCCTTATTTTTCCAGTAATTTATTTTCATTGTATTTTGCAAACACAGTCACAATGAAGTGGAAAATGTTTTAAAGCTGGCCTTTCTTCACAGCGTTTGAGAGGCTGATTTGTGTTAGGTTGACCAGATTGAACTGAGCTGTCTGACCGATCAGTCTTGGGGGGTACGATCAGCTCGAGTATCGGGTTACTTATTTGAGAGGAAGTGGACAGCGCAGGGGACAGGGAGACCTCGTGTTCCTGTGTCTCCAATGCTTACAAAGCCCAAGCAGTTGTCATCTTTTAGAGCTCAGGGCCCAGGTCTCCTCTGTCGCCCTTGGGAGGGGACAGTATCAGGGATCCCGTCAGTGGGGGACTCCCTGGGCCTGGGCCATCTGTGGATGGGGAGGGGGCAAAGCCCAGGTGCCAAGAAATGCAGGGAGAGGAAAGGCCGGAACTGGGCATGTAGGAGCCAGCTAGTGATTTGGGGGTGGAGGTGCAGCCCGCGATTCAGAAAGGGGCAGCAGGCAGTTGCCATCAGCTCAGGGCCGCAAACAGCTGGGGACCAGCTGCCTCACATGGGAAAAACTGCGAAGCAAAACGACGAGGAACAAGTGGGTCGCGTCATGAGGAAGTCACCACCACGTATTAGATGTAGAGGCAAAATACCTGTTTGGAGCCAGCTCAGAACTGAGTAGTTTAGGATAATGTGAATGAATCAGAGGGCCCTGTGAAAACTATTTAAAGCCCGAAGCAGGTGGGGCCCACGTGCCCCAAGGTGCTTAAAACAGGGGTCAGGTGAGAAAAGAAATGTTTGCAGGTTGGTCCATGGTGCGGGGGGGGGGCAGGATGTGTAACTTAACTCTTAGATTATGTCCTATATGGAAGTGAAGAATCTCATTTAAAAAATGCGGTGTACCCTTTTAGCCACTGAGAGACATATTATTGTGTGGGGCAACTTAAGAATTAGCAACAAGAGGCCTGGCCAGCTGGCTCGGCTCGTTGCTACATCGTCCTGTACGGATGCAAAGTTGTGGGTTCAGTCCCCGGTCAGAGCGCATACAAGAGGCAACCAACCAATGTTTCTCTCTTACATGGATGTCTCTCTCTCTCTCTCTCCCCTCTTCCTCTCTCTCCCCTTCCTCTCTCTCTAACATTGATAAACATATCACCGTCTTTGGGTGAGGATTAAAAAAAAGAATTAGCAACAAGGGCGCAGCAGCATTCTCATTTTTCACTTTGGAATGGGATTTCCAGCTGTGCTCTGAGCCAGGAAGCCTGTGGGCTGTCAGCCAGTGCACCCGGCACCTCCACTGTCCCTTTGCCTCCCTTTTGTGTCCAGGTGAAATTCCTCCATCTTCATGGGCGAGAGGGCAGTGGTGAGCAGCCCAGTCTAGAGCATGACCATCAGATACAGGGACCCCTCCTTACTGCTGAGTGTCAGGGAGGCACTGGGCGGTAGGGATCGCCAAATGAAGAGACCTCGTCCTGCCCCTGGGGCATTTTCCCCCTGGTGCCCACGGACTGGTCTCGACTAGCTGACACCATGTGCAGAGACCAGGGTAGGGCTTTATGGGTGGAATTTACTGGTTCTTTGGTCCCGCGTGGCCTCCTCCCCTTATGACAATACTTGGGTTCTGCGACCTCCTCCCTCCTCAGTCCCATCCATGGCCTGGCTGTGTGGTTCCCTGGCGATGACCCTGAGCAGTGACAAGGCTGCCTCGGTGGCACTCGCCGCCTGCCTCGTGCTGGGGCAGTGTGGACCCAGGGAGGGGCCCGGCCACCGGGCAGCGGCACAGGGAGACCTCTCTGCGTCTGTGACAGCAGCAGCCCGGGGTGCTCAGTCCGCCCTGAGACCAGACTCCAGTGTCCTTCCCTGAGAAATGAATTGTACTTCATAAACATTTCTCACACACACAAAGTGCTTCCATACAAGAGATCGAGAGTTGTGTTGAAGAGGTGGCCAGTTTGATGACCAGTTTGACTTCCATAGCTGAGAATTCAGTAAAAAAAAAACCCTAAGTGGACATAATTATAAGGGATATATATTTGCAAGTTTTTCTGTACCTTCTCCAGTGTTACTCTCATTTAAAGGCATATTTTATCTCAACCACTTATGACAGCATTTCTCCACATTGTGTTCTACAGAACTGCGGGGTCCTGGGTGTTGCTAAGCCTTTCTTCCTGTAGAAGTTTCTGTGTTCAGATGTTTGGGCAAGAAGGCATTACTGCGCCCACGTCTTAAGGATTCCTGATGTGAGTGCATTAAAAGTCTGAGAGAGATTGCCATTTCTGAAAGAAAGAAATGTTCATTTTTATTAAATCTAAATTTCCCAAAATTAGTTTCTTAAGAAACCTATAAAGATCTCCGAGAGGAAAGTGTCCTAAAAATTAGAGTTTGGAAATTCTAAGTTATTAGCCTCAAAATTCTGCGCTCTGGGGCTAAACTCGGTAGGTCATCTGGTCAACCTTCAGGGAAGGATGTTTTCAGACACAGCCTCAAGGTCCAGTGGGAAGCCACTTGCTGCAGACAGCAGAGCATCTGATGAACAAAACGGGGCGAAACTCCTCCATCCTGCCATTGCGAGAGGCAGGATGATCCTTTTTACAGGGACTGGGAGGGAGCTGTCCTTCTGTGTAATCAGAAAGAACTTCCCGGTGGCCCTACTGCTGAGCTCACTGTAACAGAGTTATTGCACAGATTCGCCTCAGCTGCCAGTTCTCACCCCCACCCGCCTGCCTCCTCTAAATATAACAGCCCCAAATAATTTTCTCAAATACCACTGTTTGCTGTACCACACTCCCCCACCACCAGCAGCAGCGTTATAAAAGAACTCAGTATTTCATGTTTAGTAACGGGTCTCAGTGGATTTCACCACATGCACCCCCAGAGGACGAGCATTCGGTTTTAGTGTTGTACTAAGGAAAACATTCCAGCACCGGTTACCAAGGAAACCGGGGAGTTACAGACTGAGGGGAGTGATTCATACACAAAACTAAGACAAAGGACAGGCACATTGTTTGCCCTGAGTGTCAAGTCATAACTCGAGTGATGGGCCACTGAAGAGGCGAGAGGCTGGCTTCGACGGCTTTGGCCACAAAAACAATACAGTGCCCCGGGTGCGTTTCTTTGATCATGGCGATGCCCCAGAAAGTTCCTTGACTTCGAGGCAGGGCTTTTCCAACCTCTGACCCATGGGCCACATGAAACTCAAGATGGCTATGAATATGGCCCAACACAAAATTGTAACTTAAAACATTACGAGATTTTTGTGTGTGTTCTTTAGTGTTCGTGTATCTAATGGGTGGCCAAGACAACTCTTCTTCTTCTAGTGTGGCCCAGAGGTGCCAAAAGGGGGGACCCCCCTGGAGGAGAGCTGGTAGCTGCTTTAGCACTAACCAGCCGAGTGTCATCAGGAGGGTCTCTGGGCCTCAGTTTCCTCCTCTGTAAACTAAAGGGGAAAGGGCGGGGGGGAGGTGGCGCTGAAGACCTTTCTTCCCTTGCAAATATTTTTTTGCAATTTGGTGCAATATAGCTTTAAGTAAAAGTAATATAAGCCCTGCCAGCCCCGTGAGTCCCTGTGCAGTCACTGCTTTGTCCTGCATCTGAGTGCCAAGACTCCAAGACGTGCCCAGCTGTACCACCAAAACAGAGAACCTACTGTATCTAAAAGACGAATAATCTACATTCAGCTGTTCCGCTCAGCCATAAGAAAAGCCAGGGGCCAGACGAGCCATGCATCTGGAATATCACAGGCAGCTAAGCAGTTTCATGTGTTTGGGACTAATTAATAAGCCAAATGTTTCATCACAGTCGATTTTTGGGGGATGAGGAGGTAATGATTATTATTAAGTAAAAACCTCCTTTTCCTCCTTTTTTTTTTTAAAGTTTGCATTGTGCAGTGCCTGTAATGTTATAGTCAGAGGGATTTAAAAGCAAGCACAGCCTCAGCTGTTTGTTCAGCAGGCGGGCGTGGGGGGAGGGGAGCAGCAGGGGCCAGGGAGGAATGGCCTCTGGTTGCTGAGAGGTCACCCTGCGCACAGGCACGGCGACCCCTTCGGCTCGCTCGGCCACTTTGATTCTCGCTTTGAGAATATGAATCACGCCAGCTCAGTCGCTCCAGGGAGTCTGTGCAGCCCCCGATGAGGAGACACATGAAGGGCGTGTTGGCTCCACAGTAATTAGCCTACAGATCTCTATTTTTCAACTTCTGTTTACTTTCTGATAACGTGACCGCGACCCCCCAGGGTCACTTATCACAGTTCAAAGTGTCAGGGGCGGCCAGGTGTTTCATATAACTTTCAAGCTCCATGGTGGTTCTCCACCTGGGAGCTTTAAAACGTGCTGATGCCGTCCCCCTGCGGTGGCTCCCAGATGGGCGGCTGCAGCACGGGGGATCGGATTCCTCAAAGCCCCCCACCTGGCTGTAAGGTGCCATCGGGGTTGAGAACTCCGGCCAGGGCACAAATCGGCACCATCAGCTTTTAAAAGCAAGCACGCCTTGTTCGCTTCTGACACTGCTCGTGTGAAATATGTCGGGAACATTCTTTAGTTTTTCTAAGTTTATTAATACTAGTACGGTATGTAAGGAATTCTATTTCTAATGCTTAGGCTATATGCATATCCCAACATCTGTAAAAATTAGAGCTATCTGCCCCCATGTGGCTAATTGGTAATATTGCACCTTTACAATCAGAAAGGGTTGGAGCAAGATGTTAAGAGATACCTCCCTTAACATGGCCATGGCCATGGTCATGGTCAGAGACACTCAATGGCTGCATGGAGAGGACTGAAAACGAAGTCTAAGAGGTCTAGCCAGATTTCTAGATGAATGATTAATGTAGCATAGCCAGGGTTATTTTAGCTCCACGTCAGACAGTACTGTAGGCAAACAGCATCATCGAGGAGCCTGGATTCAGGACGGATTGCATGCGCCCATCTCCACACACGGCGATGTATCGTCACACCCTCTGAGAGCTCCTTCCAGAGGACACGCCTCTGTCGTTTTGTAGATAGCTTAGTTTCCCAACAGATACCAACAATAGCAATCACATTAAGGTTTATGGAGCACCTGTCACGTACGAGGCACCATTCTGGGAACTCGCAGGTGTCCTTGACGCCTCACAGCAACGCCAGACGGTGAATGCCACCTCCCTCTTTACATCTGAGAGGACGGCTGCTCACAGAAGCCGCGACCTCCACCCGGAAAGGGCCCGAGCGACAACGTCAGGGTTCAGTCCGGACGGTCGGACTCCGCCAGAGCCGGCACTCCTCGCCACTCTGTTCCTGCCTGTGGGAGCCTCAGAAGTCTGGGGACGAAGTTCACCTTGACCTCTGCTCTGATCATCTCACAAAGGGGCAGAAAACAGGCCAGGCATGCTCAGGTCAAAGGCCGCTCAGCAGAACTGCCCCCCTGGAGCAGCCAATGTGCTTCTGCGGCACTCGGGGGGCTTTGCTGGAAGGGTGCACAGGCCCTCTCCTGGGATTTGGGATTTGGGAGAACAGGCACCCGTGCCGTTGTGGTGCTGGTGCCGCTGCTGGTCTGGTGAGCACACCGGGCACTGCCAGGGGCCAGCCTGGCAGATGGCTCCCGGGTGTTCAGAACAGAACTCCCAGCAGCAGGCTCCCTGGGCCCCCACAGTGCCCAGTTCAGAGGCTGTAAGCGCCCAGCCTCAGCCCCCAGCACCCAGGGAGACCGAAGTTATTTTCCTTCTCTGTAAAGAAGATTGAACTAAAGATACTTTAGTTCTAACACCCCATGAGGTAAACAAAATAGTCTAGAAGCTGATGAAGAGGTTTACTACTATGAAAATATCAAATCGCCTTAACTACACCAACACTTGGAAAGTTCAACCAAGTACATAAAAACAGAGGTGAAAGCATGGGGTTTGAACCCTTGTTCATGATGGCCTTGCTCCGCCAGTTCGGTAAAAGGAAGGCCATTCACAAAGCATTTTAAACAGATGTCCTCGTTTATTTTGCATTTGCAGCGCCTCACACGGGGCCTGGCAAGTGGCAAATGCTCCAGAGATAGACTAGGGAGGAGAGGTGGGTGGAGGAATGCGTGGGTGAACAGAGAGACCCGCAAAAAGGGTGAGAGAGACAGAAGTGGGTGGGAAGACGGGACGGATGGGACAGGGAGGTTGCGGGAGGGGACTGTGCCGTGGGCTAGTAGGTGGGGTGCTGTGGATGGATGCTGGGCTGGGAGAGGTTCAGGTTACCCAGCTGCCCTTCAGTAGTAACAGACCTGGCACTGGGGCCGTTGTTTATGCCAGGAGCCGCCATTCAAAACCGAGAGCACAAACAAGGTTGGTTAAGGTGTCAGTCATTTACCTCTGAGTACGTTCGTGCACGGAAATTTCCTTGTGTCTCAGGCGCTGGAGACTGAGCCTAAATAACTCTAGTTTGCCTCAGGTGAGTTCAAGCTCTACAGGCAAATAGGGCTGTGAATCGGTACCTTAAACAGTGGGGAGGAGCCCAGAGGAAACGGCGTGATCCGTGGGAAAGGCATCGGACTCAGGCGATCTCCGTGGTAAACCCACATCCGTTGTTCCCTTGCTAGGGACTTCCAGAAAGGGTGGCTTAAAGGACAGAAGTGCACTGTCACCGTTTTGGAGGTTATGAGTCTGGAGTAGCGTGTGGGCAGGGCTGGCCCCTGAGGTGTGTGAAGGAGCGTCAGTTCCGTGCCCCTCTCTCCCCTGAATCCTGGAGGTTCGCTGGAACCTCCGGTGCCCCTGGGCTTCCGGGGCATCGCCCTGACCTCTGCCTTCGTCTCCACATGGTGCTCTCCCTGGGCGTGTGTGTCCAAATGCTCCCCTTTGTGTAAAAACACCAGTCCTGTTCGACCACATGCCCCTGTACTCCGGCACGGCTTCATCTTAAGTAGTGGCAGCTGCAATGACCCTATTTTCAAATAAGGTCACTGTCTGAGGCACCAGGGTTTCAACCTATGAATTGGGAGGGGCGGGGACAACTCGACGTCGAACACCCTATTTCACAGACATATTTTGAGCACCCACTATGTGAGCTACCGAGAAGCGACCCCAGTTCTTAGGTGGCCCCCACTCCGGCACCAGCGTCCCCTCTGCAGGGAGGCCTGGAACACCTGCCATTTGAGGGGGACACGTGGGGAGTGCCCCCTGACCTCAGCAGACAGCAGCGTCTCCCTACACAGGGAGGCGGGCTTCACGGAAGGCTTGAGCTGGGCCTCGCCGGGGGGGTAGAATTCCACGACTGGAGGCCATAGGGGGCGTCCCGGAAGACAGAGCCGTGGGGACAAAAGCACATGGGCCAAGAGGCACGAGAGATGACCGGGGAGTGGGGGGGGAGACGTTTCTCTGCTGTCCCCGGGCTCCCTTCCAGATCGCGGTGTTACCTGTCACACGAAGAGCACGCCTGGCCCGACCCCTAAAGCCACTGTCGCACCGTCCTGTCCACCCCAACAAAACGCCATGCCCCCTGTGACCCCACTCTGGGCCCACTCCACCGCCACCTTCCCCACAGCCCTGGTGGTCTTCACCTTCTCGTCAGTAGCGAGGTGACCCTCCGGTGCCTTGTCGCCCAGCACTCAGGTGTCTGCGGCCCTTTCAGTGTTGTAGGGTGAGAGCTGCATGAATTCTGGGCCACGTCACCCTGTAACGCACCCATTTTTCCCTTAGCAAAATATGACTTCATGAAAAGCCCTTGGAGCTCCCGGTTCTCCATAACGTGGCATTGGGACCCTTCCCGCTGGGTGGGGCTGCAGTGCCTTCTGGGTGGGGCCTGTTCCCCTGGCGCCCAGTGGGCGTGTCCAGAGCACCGGCAGGTTCTCCACCCCAGCTTCACATCTCCACTAAGGCCCGTGCCCAGTCCCGGTCTGTGACCCCGCCTGGCCTGGCCTCTGCCTTTGATCAGCTGGGCGATCCCAGACAATAAGGACCAGCTCCGTGAGCCCCGCTGCCTGAGTGCGGGGGGAATTTATGGCGTGTGAACAGTGGCCTTCGGAGGGGAGTACAGCCATGTCACGCTGCTGCAGCTTGCCTCCAGGAAAGGTCCCGATTAAAGGGCCAGGGTTCATGTTTTCCCACATCAAAGAGAAAGAGGCTGGGCTGCCTAAATGGGAACAGCTGAGCCCAAACCATTGCAGCGTCCCTCCCCCTCTCTCCCTGACCTGGGGCGTGCTGCCGGTGCCCTGAGAACCATAGAATCCCCCCCACACACACCCCTGCGAGGTCCTCTGTCAGCCAGTCCGCCCCAGGGCTGCCTCCCGCGATGCTGTCTCTGCGGAGCTGGAAGTCCTCCGGCCTCCCAGGCGACCGACCAGCGCCCGTCCCCCCTCTCAGGGCACGACGAGAAGTCTGAGAACGCGGTGAGAGCCAGCACCTGCTGCGCTTCGTGCAAGGAGTTCCACCAGATGAAGCAGACGGTGCTGCAGCTGAAGCAAAAGGTGCGTGCCCGGCGGGTTAGCAACCATCCCAAAGTAGGAGGGCGTGGCAGAGACGAGGTGGGGAAATGTTGAGAAGTAACAAAACCCACGACCTCTTGGAGCGCTCACCGAGGTCAGTGTCAGCTAGGCTTAGACTGGAGCGGTTCGCCCACCAGCCTCGGAGCTGACGGAACGCAGTGACGGCAGTGGGTGGAGTGGGTGCGAATTAAAACGGACCCCTGGGTGAGGGGCATTTTTAAAGGTGCCTGTTGGAACGCGGTGAGCCCCGGCCTGAAGGTGTGCCGAGCTGACTTTCAGGTTGCACAGGATTTGGATTCTGATGGTCTTCCTGCAGGGTTCTGAGTAGTGATCACAGGGGAACGGGGCACCTTACATCTGTCTCTCAGAGAAATACCAGGTCTTCTTGAATTGTGGAGGAAGGCGTGGGGGAGTCAGGAGTCTCTGAGGCCCTGGACCCGTGAGGCTGTCCTTCCCTGAGGGTTTTCCCTCTAGCTAAAGGGCCCCAAGCTCCCTAGGAGTGCATGCGCACGAGGGTTGAGGGCACTGAGGGGCTCTTTGGGAGACAGTGTTGCTGCTTTGACGTTCCAGGCTGGGGAGCCAGCCTCCCAGGCTAAACTAGGTCCCCTGGGGCCCCGACCCGTGTGGCTCAGCTGGTTGGCTCGGACAAAGGGACATTATCGTGAAAAGGTTTCACAGCCACTGTGAATAACACATGTGAAGAATGTCCCAGCAGAGGGGCCTTCGCTCCCTGACAGGTTCCTTCTCTCTCTCTCTCTCTCTCTCTCTCTCTCTCTCTCTCTCTCTGTAGATTGCCCTGCTCCCCAACAGCGCCGCGGACCTGGACAAGTACATGACTGGGAACAAGGTGCTGGCCTCCAACGCCTACCTGCCGGGACCTCCCGGCCTGCCAGGGGGCCAGGGCCCTCCAGGTGAGTGTGGGCAGGGCATCGAGGGGGACAGTCACCAGCCAGGGCCTCCCAAGAGCTCATGTTTAGTGGGGGCTGGGCGCAGCTGTGTGGCTGCCATGGGCGGGGGCAGGAGCAGGAACCCAGGGGGCACCCACACCTGTGTGAAGAGAGGGCCTTGGGAAATGGGGTCCCCAAGCCTGAGAAACCCTCATGGCCAGCAGTCATTTGGGGGACAAAGGTCAGTGGTCCCACCATTGGATAAGATTCTTAGAGATCATTTTAAGTTACAGAGAAACAACGTGGAAACTACGTTTTAACATTAATACATACAAAAGCAGACTTGGTTCGTGAGCTCCTGTGGGCCCTAACAGTGCAGGACCGGCTGGGTTCCCCTACTCCCCGGTCGTTTCCTCCTCCCCGCTATTTGTGAACACATTTGCATCAATGTTGGTTTCCACATATATTTTTTCTTTGTAAGTCGACCCTACTGAGATACCATTATATCCAATAAAACTATCCATTTATATTACAACTTCTGACACATGTACACACCCTGTATCAAGCCCTCGCTAACCCCGCCCTGTATCGGCATCTGCATCAAGACAGAGACCGTTTCCGTCACCCAGAAACACGCCCTTGTGCCCGTTTGCAGTCTGTCCCCACCCCCACCGCAGGCCACCGCTGACTTGCTTTCCGTCACTGCAGTTTCGTCCTAGAACTGCATAGCAATGAACCTCATAGTGTGTATTGTTTGTCTGGCTTTGCTCATCCACCATACTGTGTTGGAGATTCACCCTTACTATTTTGAAGAAAATGTCAAATGTCCTATCATTTCATCAGAATACATGCAATGAGAACTTTAAAAATTAGTAGCCAAATGTTCTATGTTCTATCTTACAAATATGAAATGCATTTTATATGTTTATGATTTACTCCATGGATAGATCAATAGGTTTTTTCACACCCATAAAGGAAATGATATAAACGCTAGCAAGTGATTCTAAAACACGGAGGGCTTTATCCCTGTTTGCCGTTGCTCAGCAGTGCACTAGGTGTTGTGAGAGACCTCCCGACATGCTCAGTGGGCAGACAAGGCACAGAGCAAAAGCAAATAGCATCCAACAGGATCTGCAGGCCTGGCCTCAGTGCACAGTGCTCCCTGCTGTGGAGCTTAAAGCAGGGGGACCGCTGCAGCCTGCCCCGATCGGGGTCCCGGGACTTGAGCTGGATGTGAAATGAAGACTGGTAGGACCTGTCCAAACAGGGAGGGCACGGGCAGATTTTGGGTTGGAAGGCCAGCAAGAACAAAGGCTCAAAATTCTTCCCAAGCTATTTATGGGTTTTCTTCTCTACTCATATCTTAGTCTCCCGGTGGCCATCAAACACAGGTGGCCTGGGTCTCAGTCTATACAGAGAACAAGAACTGGTCCAGGACTTTGGTGTAGACCCCTGTTCATTCCCTTGGCCTGCAGTGCTCTGAGTCAGAGTGGGGTTTTCTCCAGCAGGTGCCTCACAAAGGAAGCTTCTCACTGCTGAGTAGACTTGGGTCTCCTCCTACAAATCGATCCCTAGCACAGCGGGCTCCACGCTGCTCCAAGAGGATGCGCCTACTCTGCTAACCTGCAGGGAGTTCATCTCCAGGCCAGTCCACGTGTCCTCCCAGAGGGACGAGCTAGGAACAGGGGAGCCATTCACTGGCTGTCTTTCTGCTTAGTAAATGACCTGCTGACTTTCTTCCCAGTCTGCCATCTGGTTTCTCCCATGGTATGAGCTGTCCAGGGTCCTTGACGGAGCAGAAAGTGATGAAGGACTCTGCCCCGGCTCTGTCTTCCAATCCTGTTTCTTTCTCACTCCTCACTTCTAGCATCAGCCCTTCATTGAGAGGTGTTAGGGCAGCTAGAGAAACAATAAGGTTTCTCTTCCCCTTAACTAAAAGTCCAGGCCCTCGGCCTGTGATCGTTTGGGGCACCAACACCAGAGACTACATTAAGTTGGAATCATCCTTGGGCTTTGGAGGCGAGGGGGTGGCTGCTGCTCCCTGGCCCCCACTCGTATGTATCAGGTGGTATGTATGCCACTTGCACATCAAAGCCCCACACTTGAAAGGCATCGAGCATACAGTGATCTCTGAAGTCGCTGGTTGCACCGTTGGTAAATGATGGTAAAGCGTGGTCTCTGGCCTGTCCTCGTGCTGTCAGAGGCAAAGTGTTTCATTATGGGAGGTGTCTGGTCCCCCTCCCAGTAAGTTCTGCAGGATGCACCTGGACCCAGCAGCGTTGCAGGTAGAGGTGTGAAACAGGTCTGGATGGAATATCGACCGCCTCTGGCCTTGGCTTGATTATTCAAGGAAAGCCTAACAGTGTTTGTAGTGCCTTTATGTGCGAGGTGCTCTGCAGAGTGACGCGTGCAGGTATCTAAAATCTCACTGAACACTCGCAGCCACTCTGGAAGGTAGATTTATATCAGCCCAGCTTCTCAGAGGAGAAGCGAAGGGTGCAAGAGGGCGAGCGGCTTGTCCAGGATTCAGACCGAGGTCTCAGATGCCGACACCTGTGCCGTCGGCCACGATCCAGGTGTGGTAGCCGCCGCCCTGCCGTGACCGGGGGGGGGGGAATACAGAGGAACTGACAGTTATAGGAGACGTGGAAGAGGCAAACTGTTTAGGAGCTGGTTGCGGATTGGGTAAGGGGGTGTGGAAACAGGGAAATCTATAGGAGATGGGCAAGATTCCGGCTTGAGTAGACGAGTGACTGGTGGTTCATGAAAAGAGAGGATGATGCGGAAGTCAATGTAGACCATAGTGAGTTTGAAATGCCAACGGGGCATCCCACTAGAGGTGTCAGAAGGCCAAGGGCAGAGTGCACAGAGAATCGTCTTCCCGAGCTTGCGGGTTCTGGAGAGTCTGTGCCCTGCTCTTCCTGGCAGGATGAGACGCTAACGAGCTGTTCTCTGATTGCAGGCTCGCCGGGACCGAAGGGCAGCCCCGGCTTCCCCGGTGTGCCGGGCCCTCCTGGGCAGCCGGGCCCACGGGGCTCCATGGGGCCCATGGGACCATCTCCTGACCTGTCCCACGTTAAGCAAGGCCGGAGGGGCCCTGTGGTCAGTATTTTCTCAGAGACCCTCTCAACTGTTGTTGAGGAAATCGTGTTCTTGTTCCCTGCTTTTTCCTCCTGCTAAACTACATCCCTGTGTCCCGTAGGGCCCGCCGGGCGCCCCAGGAAGAGACGGCTCTAAGGTCAGTCTAACGAGTGGTTCCTCCGCCTCTGGGAAGCTCTAGCACTGCGTGCTGTCCTCATTTTGCATGGAGAAACTGAGGCACAGATAGACTTTTTCCCCCAGGAAAATCTAAAAAGCAATTTCTTCAACATGTGAAACACCCATAAAAACAAAACAGCCACCAAAACCACGCCTGAGAGAGGTTCGTCCTGTAAATCTGGAACAAAGCCCTGTGTGGCCATGGTCATGGATGTCTTTCTCTCCGGCCAGTGTCCTTCCGTAGGGCTGTTTTGCGTGTGACACGTTTAAGTCCAGAACAGACACATTCCATTCTGTGTCAGCTCGTCACGCTGAGAGCGTCCTACTACCCGCCTTGTAAAGTCTGTGCGAGTTACTTTAGAGAGCTCCTAAAGTATTCCGCACACTGCCTGGAAATACAAGCATTCCTCTGGCCACATCTGGTTTGAAAATATATGACCTCAGGGTTAAATCTGGATGAGAGACATTTGACCCAAGCAGTTCTGTTCCAATAAGTGGTCCCAGGAGTCCAGCATAAGCTTCCGTTTGCTCCGATGGAGCACACTTGTTGTTTCGGGCGGGGGCATGGTCGTGGTGGGCGTGTAAATAGAGACTGTGGGGGTGGCATTTACGTGGTCCAGAAAGCTAACATTGACCTTTCTGCTTTTAGGGGGAGAGAGGAGCCCCTGGACCCAGAGGATCTCCTGTAAGTAGTGCCGTCTGTCTCGCCTCCCCATGAGAATGTTTTCGGGACTGCAGCCCTGACTGGGTCTCGTTAGCAGAAGCCGGCTTCTCGCAGCCAATGCGCAGCCCACCCGAACAGTGCGAGGGTTTTAGAAGGAAAGTCATAGGGGCCTTCAGCAGCTGCTTGGGATTTATCTTGACAATTTGTTTTCTATTGTTCTTTCTTTTATCATGGCTAACCCTTATTGGAAATAGCTTAAGATTCAAAACCTCAGTATGCCAAGAGTCTGTTTCCAGGTATGTCCTAAAACATCTGAAGAGACTAGGAAGGAAAAAAAAACTCTTATGGGCTAAGTCCTACCTCTGAAGGCTTAAGAACTTAGCCACTGCTACAGCCCCAGCAGGGCAGGGGCCATCCCCTCCAGAAAGTACGGAGACGGGCAGGGCGGCCGGGGCCGCTGAGAAGTTAGCTGGAGATGTGTGTGGTGCCTGGGAGATCAACAGTGCCAGTCCGTAGTATCCAAAAAGCACAGAAATGTCAAGCAACTCCATTGCTTTGGAAGAGGTCACTGTCGTTTCCTAAGAAGGACAGAGAGGTCACTTCAGTGTTAGAGGTAGGGGGTCTGGGTTCCCATCTCAGCTCTTCCACCTGCCAGCTCTCTGACCTTGGCCATGTCACACAGCCGCCTGGGCCCCTGCGCCCTCGTCTGTGTGGGGGGCCAAGTGGGATCTGACCTGCCGTGAGTCAGTGAGCACCCACGGAGGTCAGAATACCGTGCGTCACTAAGGACCTGCAGGCGGGAGCTGCTCTCTCCAGCTCCATGGCACAGGCCCCTCAGCTCCATTGAGGCTGCAGTCACAGTCAAGCAGCCTTACCAGTACTCTGACTTAGTTTTAAAAGATCATGTCTTTGAGCATGTGCTATGGTCTCAGCCCTTTGCCTGCATTAGCTCATTTAAATACTCACTTGGAAGCCTATGAAACGTAATGAAGTTGAGACTATTATCGCCTTTTAAGGGATGCGGAGAGGAAAATCCAAAGAAATTGAGTAACTTGCCCAGGACCAGCTAGTAAGTGGCAGAGCTGAGATTCAACCCCAACAGAACCCCAACCCCTTAACCCCTACTCTAAGTGGCCGTAGTATCTTCAGATTTCTTTGGAAAGTGGCCTGGGAATGTTCTTCTGTTCTGTCATTCTGCTGCATGGGGTGCAACCTAGAATCGGGAGGGAAGAGGTGACTCTGTCATACAGAAGATGAGGGTGTCAGAAGGCAAGGGGAGGAGTCCCTGGGGCTACTATAATAGCCCCGTGTTTTCTCCATTCGGGACATGGCATTATAGACTAAGTAGCTGCCAGCCCACAGCAGGCATGGCCAGTGATGGCGCCTCGGCAGCCCCCACTCTGCAGGGGGCTGAGTCCGCGGTGTTCTGGCTGTGACCCCTCTCGTGTGCACAGGGCCCCCCCGGTTCTTTCGACTTCCTGCTGCTGATCCTGGCGGACATCCGCAACGACATCACAGAGCTACAGGAGAAGGTGTTCAGGCCGCAGACCCGCCCCTCAGCGGAGGACTTCCCTCTCGTACAGGAATTCTCCAGCTATCCGGAAACCATGGATTTCAGCTCTGGAGACGACTCCGCGGAAAGAACCGAGGCGAGAGACCTGGGGACCCCCAGAGACTCCTATCCTTAGCACGTGTCATGCTGTTCCAACATCTGCGTGCAGAAGGAAGAGAAGAGTTTTCACACCTGCAGTCAAATCATCTAAAGAAAAGACAAAAAAAAAAAAAAAACACTAAACCCCACCACTGGAGACCTGGACAAGATACATCATTTTCTTTACTCTTTCCTGCCTTTTCCCTACTTCTTGTTTTCCAAATACTGCTTTCAGAGGCTCCCTGCTAGGCGAGCTGGCCATGAGGGAGTAAACGAATGATTCACGTGCCTCCGCCCAAGAGCAGGTGAGCTGGTCGGCATCGGAACTTCTCCCCTGTTTATTTATTTCTTTTAAGAACTTTTGGCTTTCTGACTTAAGATTCTCACAGTATCTTCAATTTGACAGAAGCAGAGGGAAACGTGGCAAGGTGAGCTCAAAGAAATGTGAGGTTATTTGTAAAGAAGAATTAGATACGTGTCCCAAAGAGGCTTTTGCTCCTTGGTATCAAAGTAAGGCCTTTTCAATGAAAAGGGAGGAACAACAATGTGTATGTCCTTTGGCAGATGATTCTTTTCCATGGTTGATCTAGTAGATTTTAAATATTCAGCCTCTTGTCCAACCTCCTTTCCCAGTTTCGATTAAGCTAGGAGAGAGTCCTGCAGGAGCAGAGACTGGGAAGGGTGGAGAAGATACGTACTGTCACAGAGGCTGCCACACTCTAAACTCAAAACCGACCAGTAAGGGGTCAGGTGACACTTGTCTATCTGTATCCTGTTCAGAAAAGGAAGTTGCTCCAGGTGTAGGACTGAGTCCTCTTTTCAAAAGAGAAAACGGAATCAAGTGCCCTGATTCACCTTAGGACAGTGGGCTCCTGGCTCGCCAGGACGTGTTAAAGCCGTTTGATCGAATGAGTGGGCCTACTCAGTCAGTCACAGATTCTTTGTTGGACGAGGGTGGCCGACCCTTAGAGAGGCGCAGAAACCCCTAGGCTCGGACCGGGTGCCCAGAGGTGTCCTTAGGCCGTGATCCAGGTTGGAGCAGAGCACACTGGAGCTCAGAGCCCGAAGGGCCAGCTTGGGTTGTTGGCCGAGGGGAAGGGGAACCTCCGGAAGGGACCCCCCACTAATAGGCAGAGGCAAGTAAGTTTGCTCTCGTGGGGAATTAGAAGTCCTCGTCTGGGGCCAGCCAGGCTTGCCAACAGAGAGAATTATACACTATTGAAAGTTCGCCGAGATGTGGAGGGGAAAAAAAAAACAAGTTTCCCCTGTTTGGCAGAAATTTCCTTCCCACTGGTCCCATTTTTCTTTAATTGTCCATAATGTAACTCAAGACCCAGTTCTTGCAGGCCTTCTCTGTGGCTTCCCTCTCCCAGCAAACACGAGAAGCAGTCGGGAAAGGGGCATGTTGCCGAACCTCCCATTCGGTCTGTGTGTGCTCATGCGCTTCTGCGTCCCCAGGGAAGCGTATTCTGGAAAAGGCTTCCTCTGCGTCCCCAGGGTCAGGAGCAAGAGGCTGTGCTCAGAAGATGAGCAGAGGTATCCCCTCCTTTGTAGTATTCTTGGGGAACCTCTTGGCTTTGATGGGCAGCTTGCAGGTTTCTTCAAGGACACGCTCGCATGTGACACATGGAATGGCTTTGCACCCACCTGTGCAGGAGACCTTCACCCTTACACCGGACCCCACCAATTACCCCGCAACAACTCACGTTTGCTTATATTGGTGTTTCCATTTCCCATCCTACGATTCCCCCCTATATTTCTGGGAGATTTGTGTTTAGGTTTCTTTTCCCATCATTTCACATTCCTCCTGGGACACTTGTTTCAAGAGATCTGCTGTTGGTGTTTGCCTGCCTCTTTTCAATCTTCCTGCAGAGAGCCGGCAGATCTCAAGGGACAACCGCCTTCCTTCCGTTCACGATAGAAACACAGGGCGCAGGTCAGTTGGCCTGGCGGCCGAGTCTTTCACCAACACGCCCCTCCTCCTTCCTCAGGCAAATCCCCAGTGCCTGTCCTCCAAAACGTCACTGCTGAAAGCCATCGCATTCTCAATGTTCCTCTTTTCACCTCGTCCCTTCCCTCCCCAGCCTCGCCAGCCACGGTTTCCAATGCACAGAGTAGCTGTGGCTTCCCGTCTGGAATGTAGTTAGTGTCTGCCTGCTTGCGGAACACAGTATTTGAAGGGTGTGGGTGGGCAAATGCTCAAGGAAATGATGCACAGGCTCTGTGAGACGTGATTGGGCCTGTCTTTGATTTTTTTTTTATGAGGAATTATATTACCTTTTCTTTTCCTTAACAGTAAACTGTGTTTAGAAATATAATCTTCTCTATCATTAAGTGCTCATGAAACGCAAGCCAACTGCACATTGGACATGCAGACGCTAGGATAAATACATTAAAAGAATGAACCGATGGTGGTAATATCTGGGATTCCTGATACTATTCTAGATAATGTTCACCAGCAAAACACACAATAACCTCTATTTCATCATCTCAATCTGCTGGGTTGGGTCAATGTATAAAATAATTATTCAGGCTCAGATTTTCAGAAGTTGGACAAGGCCTACAGGACTAAAAATTATGTATTCTGCATGCCCAAATTGTATTTTTCACAGATAAGACATTATAAGGCACTGTTGTTTCTAATGTATCTTTTAGTTATGGGTAGGAAATCAAAGCTTCACTGTCTAAACAGGCCCATCTGCTCAAACCTGAATGGAAAAGCCATTTGGGGGGTCAAATTTGCTGGACTCTTGCTGAGCCCCTCCATGGATCGTGGGGGTGGGGGGGGAAGGTCTTTGTAGACATCTTCAACCCTGCAGCGGAAACGTCAGCTGCGGGTTTTTGCACCCTGATAACTGGGACTCGTGAATAGGACTTAGTAGTTTGCTTCCATTTCGGGAAAGCAATGGGAATAAAAATCTGATTGAAAATAGTGGAGGGAAGGCACACATTTTATTTTGAGAATATCCTCCGCCCTTCCCAATTCCAGAAGAAACTATGTACCCCCAAAGGATATGGGGGTACAGAGGGAATGTTGTCTTCTCTCTCCTGTGTTTTCTCCAACACCTGCCACAAAGTGGACAGACCCACGGAAGTCATGTCTACTGTATACACTCAGGTGTGCACACAGTGGAATGGGTCAATAGCAAATGCACATCAGCTTGGGGGAGGTGTACCCCACCAAATCCTAGGTGAAGGGCATCTCAGGTCTGGCCATGCTCCATGGTTCTGGCTTTGTGAGCCTGTTTCTAGACATGCAAGGGGAGGTATTCTCCATGCCAGACACCTCCCCGGGGTGACAGCAAATCCCTCATCATACTCTGGGTGTCACGCCCCATCCCGGCCCCACCCCTGCCACTCCAGCCCATCCCAGAGAGAGACAGCAGCCTCGTTGTGCAAACTGAACATCTGTCAGATAACCTTCCTGACAAAGACATCTATTTGCAAAGAGCCCGGGCCAAACAGCTAGCAGAATAGAGCCATCTGACGTTATTAATGAATTCAGAGAAATAGATGAGTTTTTCCTGGCACTGTCAGCATGTGTGTTTCACAGCAAATCAAAACCATGATTTACTATTTGGAAAAAAAAAAGCCATGACCATAATTGTTAAAGCATACAATCTTGGGATCGCATGCTCCTCCAGCAAAGAGGAGTGCTTCAGGGAAACCACGGGAAAAAGACCCCTTTGCACCTGCCCCAGGGAGCTCAGTGTTCTTGGTTATGTCCCCAGCGCAAGAGCCCTGGTGGGTGTCGTGCATGTCATGACTCCTACTCCCAGTGACTAGCCATATTCTTCTCTAGCCATTTTGTTCATTATTTATAACAGATCCATATAACAGTGGAGCTAGTATTCAAATAATGATGAATGTGATACTATGAAGTCCTTTTGACGAGATTGTACATGCTTAATAACAAAATTATTTTTCTTATGTGGTGGTACTGTGTTTTGTCCCGATACCCAGTCCCATGGAACTCATTCTCTTTTTCCAAGGTGAATCCAAGGAGACGGAGGGAGACAGTTCTCCCTGGAGCCAGCACTGCATTCTGGGCCGGCCACGTCCTGGGCTGGGAGTGTGGTCCCAACGTCCGAGTGCGAGCCAAGGGCTGAAGGCCTAGGTTCCACTGAGTTCTGAGTCTCAGAAGCCCACACCCCGCAGCTGAGGGTGAGGGCGTCCTCTGGGACCCCTGGGGGGAGGCATTGTTCAAACCAGGAAGAATCAGGGGATCATTAGGGGTCCCAAGGAGCTCACAGATGGAAGGCTGTTGGGGCTTCCACCTCTTCCTACTTCCACTGCATCTCGGGCAACTCAGTTTTAGTGGGGTTGGGATTAGAATTGCTCATAAGGCTTCCTTTGAAGGGGGAAACATTGACTGCCTAAAAAAAGGCTAAAATAAATAGAATTGGATGTAGGAGCCCTATGCGTTGGTAGCTGAAGTCCCCTATGTGAGGGTAAGAGGAAGGGAACTTTCCTCAGTTGGGTCATGTGGGAGGAAGTTATATATTTAAAGGGGAGGTTCCTCCTAAGGGACTTTCTGCTCCCTAGCAGGTGCCTCTAGCATCCTGAAGTTCACCTATATTTATGTGCCTCCCTTTCCTCTAGCCAGCATTTGTCAAATGCTTGTTGAAAGCTGTGCGCTCTGCTACCCACTACAGACAATGGGGAGCATGAAAGTCATCATCCCCGTCCTCTTGGGGATTTTTGGCAAAACAGACAAGGATCCTTCCAGGCAAAATAAATTAATCATGTAAATATGCAACTACAAACTGATAAGTGCTGTGAAGAGCAGTCGGTGCTGCAAGAGCCAATAGCAGCTCGTGCCAGTAGGACCCGCCCTTCACTCCCCAGTCACATGCGAAGCACCCACCCCCCACAGCCACGCGAGGCCTCGGCCCTCGCAGAGAAAAGCTTCCGGAATTCTGGGGGGAAAAACAGCAGCCGACAGGAACCTGGGAGACCCCTCCCTATGTAATTTTTCCAGTCTTCTTCATTTAAAAAGTGGCTTGATGAGCCCCAAGCTGGGTGGACACTGCTCACTGCCTCTGGACACGCCGTGGGCATGGTTGGCTGGTGACCCCCTGGGCTCTGCTGTGACTTCCCAGCAGAATATGAGGCTGGTGTCTTCCCACCTGGGAGGCTGCGGTTTTGAGCAAAGCTTGCCATGCTTCAGAAACACCCTCAGGATTTTCAGCACCGAAAACCTCCAAGGGCAGATTGTCCCCACCGGCTCAGGTCCAGATACCAGGTTCCAGGGCGGCCAAGTGCGAACCAGAGCTTAGCCACTGGTGGGGGGTGGGCAGGACAAGGTGGGAGCAGCACCAGGAATCCTGTGAGGGTTATGTGGGGGCAACTGCAATTGAATTGCAGTGATTTTTCAACCTTTTTCGTCTCATGGCACAAGTAAACTCACTAAAAGTCTGCAGCACACCAAAAAATATGTTCTTCAATGATCTGGCAAAAAGGTAGGTATAATTCTAATACATTCACAGGTGGTGGCTGTCATGTTGGCTATAGTCCTTTTTTAATTTGTCACTCTAAGGGAAAAGAGGTCAGTGTCCCTGACTAAACAGTCACGTATTGCGTGTTTTAAAAATTCTTGCAACGCATCGGTTGTATATCGCTGACCTCAGGGACCGCTGACACGTGGGAAAGAGACATGCGTTTGTGTTCTGGGGCCGCCGTCACAAAGCACCACCACCGGGCGCTCAAACAACAGAAGCTGCAAGTCCAAGAGGTGTCAGCAGCGCCTAGACTCCTGGAGGTGCTGGGGGAGGAGCCTTCCCCAGCCTCTCTGCAGTTTCTGGTGGTCGCCCTCCACCCCGGTGTCACTTGCCTCTGACGTCACGTGCTGTTCCTCCGTCACATCTGTTTGTCTCTGACTTCACACGGTGTTCTTGCTGACACGTCACCCTAATCCAGGGTGACTTCATCTCAATTTAACCAATTACATCTGCAGAGATCCTATTTCCAAATGTCGCATCTTCGGGCTCCAGGCGGCCATGAATGGAGGGGTAGGCACTTCCACATGGTACCAGAGGGGAGTTCTCTCTCTCTCCAGTGGCCCTCATCACCCTGCCTATTTCCTTCGATAGTTTTCCCATCTGAAATGTGTATTTGCTCACTTCACTCAATAAAAATGTATCGAGGGCCAAGGGTGTTGTTGCTCTCACAGAGTATGTGTCCTGGTCCAGGAAAACAGACAAATGCGTGTATTCGTTGGGGTTCTCCAGAGAAATGGGGCCAGTAGGATGGATGGATGCCTGTGTACAGGGTGGGGAAACCGTAGGCTGACAGTTGTTCATACGGAAAAGAGCACAACAGCACACAGTCATACAAGAACAGACCCCGTGTTTCATGCACACGCAACTGTGAGTATATGTTTCTGCTATATGTGGATGGATAGATATAGATGTGTGTGGATTTATTCATACAGAGAGAGAGCTATTTTTTTTTGAGAGGGAGCTATTTTAAGGACTTGGTTCACGTGGCCGTAGAGGCTGGTTCCCAGGGATGGGACCAAGTCCACACACCCCATCAGGTCCGGTGAACTCGATTCGCCTCCTGTTCCCGCATGGTGTGGTGTCTTCACCCGCATCCCCGGGCGACTGAGGGACTCTTGACGATGGCCCATTTCTGGCAAGGTGACAGCTTATGTGGTGAGCTCTCACTTCTCCGCCAGCCCACTTTCTGTGACTTTTCATGCCCTTCCGTCTCTGATGTCACTGCCAGCCGCCCCGGGAACGGGGCTGAGGGGAAATGATTAAACCAGAGGGAAAGTCATATCCGTGGGGCCCCGCTTTGCTTTATAAGTAGTTTTTATGATATATGAGGATGGAACTCTTTCCAAAGTCAAGTTCTGTTGTGTTGGGGGTTGGGGGGAGTTTCACCGAAATCCATGGGCGTTCTTGGCTCTCGCTGCCTGGCCTGTCTCCCCCACAGAAACCCAGTAATGTGCTGGATCTGCCCTGAGTCAGCTCGGGGGCAGCTGTCGACCTTGCTCCCCCTGGCACCCTGCAGTAACACACGGCACGTCGCTAGACCGCCATCGCGCCCTGTAATTGAAAGACCATAGAACGTGGAATACTTCTGCTCTGTATGGACGGGGTCTCTGATGTAAGATTTGGTAAAAGTCTTGGACAGACCAGGGGACACACAGGTGACTGCAGAGAGCTGTAGGATGGTTGGTAATGGGCCTTCTGAAACCAGGCTGGAAGAGAGAAAGGTGCCACACACTGAATTAGGCTCAGATCATTCGGAAAGAAAACAACAGCTGGAAAACATTTCAAAAAGAGGCCTCTTCAAAACAGGCTGCCCGGGACGGCAGCCAAGTACATTTTTCTTTCCGGGCTGATTCTATGGCTCTGTTGGCGGCTGAGATCCAACACCACCCACCAGATTGACACGTTTTATGTATAAATATTCACACGAGGTGGGAGGAAAGCCTCTGGGTTGATATGATTTGGTTTTAGTGTTCCAAAAAAAAAAGAAAGAAAGAAAGGGTTGGCTGTTCCAGCTGCACGGGCGTCTCCCTGCCGAGTTAAGGTGGAGCTCAGCACCATGGAGCGGGGCGCTGTCTCAGCGAGCCTTTGTCACCACCGACACCCACTTTGTTGCTCCTGGGCCTTCTGGTCGCTGCACTGGGGGACCTGTCCATGGTCAGAGAGGTCTGGAGGGCTGCAGCCATGATGTCCCTCAAAACCCATTTTGTGCAAAACCCATTTTGCACAGAGGTCACAGGCCAATTAGTCTCTTTTTTGCCTTTTTCTTGATTCCAAAGTCCCCAGTGAGACCAAGGAATCTGGTGACTGTTCTCAGGGGAGAGTTGCCTGCTCCCGCCCCAGAAAACCACTCAGAACTAAGAGGGGGATCCCGTTCTATCTGCACAGAAGGGAAGGACCACCCTCTGAGGGCATGGGGACTCTGAACTAACAACCCAAAATACCAAGCCCCCCTTAAGAGTCTGCCTCAAGTCTGCAATTCTCACCACTCACTTCCCTTCCTAGGGACCACTCACTTGGGCTACAGCTTTTGGCCATGAATACTGGTTTAGCCCTTAACCAGGGGGTCCGTGGAGAAGGTCATGACTCCATGTTAAGACCCAATAGAAAGCAGTTGTGTGGGAATTAGTGGGAGAAGGTGAGGAGAAAGAAACCGGTTCCACCTGAGAGCTAAACCCAGGCATTGCTAGTTCCAGGGAAGGAGGGTGGGTTGTAACAAGCCAAGCCAACAACCCATGAGCTTTGTCATCTCAAATGCACTTTCTCTTCCAATTCAATGAATGTTCTTTCCACTAATCATCATTTTAGATTTGGGGATTTCCGGCTCACTTTCATTATTACCTGGGTGACCCCATGTCACACGAGAGGAATATGAAGGAAGGATTCAGCCTCACCTGAAACCACTGGGGTCACTCTGTGTCCAGGGAGGAGCTGTGCAGGGGGTGCTCCATCTCCCACCCCTTGCCAGCTTCAGAGACGGAGTCGTTACTTTCTTCTGAATGGAATTGGAAGGCTCTATTGGTAGGTAGTTGTGCCAATCTGTCTCCTACCCTTACCCATAAACTTAAGGACTGAAATTTTAACTTAACCACCTTCATGGCTCCTAGGGAACCTAGGACAATACTCAGTGCACAATAAGAGTTCAGGAATTGTTCTCAGGAGGCAACCAATTGCTAAGAATACAGCCACTAATGGCCCCCATTACTTCTATTCATTCAATCATCCAGCAAGCATGTACCGACTGCCCCGATGCGACATACACTTTCATGAGCACCGGAAATAACGCAGATCTCAAGACCAGCACCAGTCCCTGTGTGTATGGCATTACAGTCTGGTGACTAAAGTCACAGGCCTGTGTCAATACTAACTGAAGCTGTATCACCTTTTTAGTTTTTCTCTGTGCAGAATTTCCTCAAGCATCTTTATTTTACA